GGCCATGACGTTTAGTAAGAAACAACAGAAAATGTGAGGAAAGAATTTAGAGAAATACATACGAGGATAAACAGATAGAGGGTTTTACTTACTGAGCATTATTTTGTGTTCACCCCGTTATTTTCCTTGTGGATGCAGGATCCATGTGATGATGCAGTCGGAGGGGCGTCGGCAAGCGAGGAGCAATAGCTACACTGTTTCCCCTGTTTTTGTCTTTTAAAATAGTTTTTTTGTAAATGATGCTCTTTGTGTATAAAAGACGTATTACTTATAATAAAAAGAAAAGTTTTGGACCCATTTTCTATTGTTATTATGCATGCATTATACCAGTTTACAGCAGTTGTTACATAACTACCTACTAATCTTAACTCCAGTAATAAACTAACTTAAGCACTAACGGCTTAGTTAGTTACACATCCTTTATTCAACACCCATCAGATCCAAACTTCATCTCACCTTGCCTTTGGTGTGGCTTTTTTACAAACAGATGGTGGGTGGTGGTGGATGAGTGGAAAATGGTTGGTTTTTCAACAATATGATCTCCCAAAATTCAACAAATAAACACCAATCAATAGCCAAACAAACTCCTACAAAATCACTCCCAAATAATCCAAAAATCGAATCAAAATCACCTGCTTGATTTTTGCTTTTAGGCCAACAAGCCTAATTTTGATGTTTTTGGACCCACCGCCACTACCATTAGCTACCTCGTCCCCTCCATACCAAAACCCCTCTATTCCCCACCTCACTACCCCAGCTAATCGTTGGTTGCCGCTACGTTTGTTTTTGCACGACCTCTCACTTCCTAGCTTGATTTCGACCGTTCCCGATGCCAAAACTCCACCTGCCACCACCATCAGCACCACCGACATCTCCTTAAGAAAACCCCCATCTCACCAGATGGTGGTTGCTCACTGATCGTTATCTGCCATCCACCCTTGGTTTCGCGTGACAATTGCAATTAGGAGATGAAGAAGATGAAGACGGGAGGAGGAGAGGGAGGAAGGGGAGATGAAGAAGAAGAAGATGGGAATGCAGTTTGGTAATAGTGCAGTCTGCATCTATGTCGGAACCTAAAATTCACTATCGGTATTACTTTAAGGGTGAGAATCTAGAATTTATGAAACTAGGATTGGGAACTTGTCATTTCGCTTAACCTTGGATGAGAACATGTCGTTTACTCTTTAGAAATTTAAAAAATATCAGGCCTGTTTGTTTTACTTTTTTGCCCTATCCGACCCAAAATGCATATTTGTTTCCCTATTTTCAAAATTCAATCATATTATATTCAACTACTTTGAAACCCCCATAGGTTTGTTAGTTTACTAAACACCCCCAATAATAAAAAATTTATAAATTGACAAAAATACCCTCACCCACCCATATTTGCCAGATTTCTGCCACCATCGCTGGAAGGTAACAGGAATCTAGCGTAATAACGCACGACCAATTGGATCTAACTATTCGTACATCAATATGGCATTTTTCGACCAGATCAACCATAAATCTGGTCAAAAAAGGTCAGATCTATAGCCTAATCCAACTGTCAATAACAATCATATCTTAAATGGGATAGCTTGGTTTTACAACATAAAATATGTATATGATTTTTATTTTTTATAGTCTTATATAATATGAAAATTTAAAATATCGTAAAAGTATCATATCAATTATATTATATAGAACAAAATCTTTATGTCATGCATGAACTTTTTCTTTATAATTAATATATTAGTTTGTTACGTGAATGTTATTTTGTTATACAATTGGTTTTTTTTTTTTTTTTTTTTTTTTTAATTAACAGACACTTGAAGAGTTCTTGGACTCGGAATACAAGAAGTCAAATTATTTTGTGAACAACAATAAAAATAAATAAATAAATAAAGATGCATGCATGCATGCGTGCGAAAATGGGGAAAAAGAGGTGAATGATTAAAGAGAGGACTTGTATTGATGAAGCAGTGAAGCTGGTGGTGTCAGCTGGTTCCTCGTTGCAATCAAATGAAGCAGAGCAAAATGAAGCGAATGGAGTCACACTAATGAGCTAGAGCTTCCAATTATTATCATTTGCCACCTTCAAATAATGAATTGAATGAACCGCACTGACTCTCTGCATACTGACTCAATCACTCAACATATTAATATATCTAATTCTTCGCCCAATCATACATTTTCCCATTTTTCCAATAATGCACCAGCTGCTGCATCATTAAATTAGTTTTGTCGTCTTGTTACCCAGCCTCACACTGTGACTAAATGTCTATCCATCTAATAAAATTCTTTTTGGGTTAGGATATTATGACTTCATTTTTCAATACTCTTTCTGATCCATCTAACGATAATAAGAGGGAAGTTAAAAGCAATTACATTAATTATAAATCAGTTTATCTCATCACCATTGCACCGTCGAAGATGAACGAAATTCACAAAGAACGTCAAAAAACTAACTCACAAATCACAATTATATATATATATATATATATATATATTGGAAGTAAATGGTTTTTAATACATAGATTAAAAAGCATCAATTATCATCAGGGACATAGCTAGTATATAAAATAAGAGTCAATCGAACCACTCAAACTTTAAAAAAAAAAGAAAAAAAAAAAAGCTTTATATTTCATAATATTGACAATTTTGATCTCACTTAAATTTATATTACCCCCACAAAAAATTGTATTAATTAACAATTTTTCACATTTTTCTCTCTTCTTTATTTTCTCTCATACTTTTTTCTTCCTTTGGTTAGATTACTAAAAAAAGACTACTCTTTTAGAGGTTAATTACAAGGTATATTAATGTTTTTTTCTTTTTCTTTCAGTTGCTTAAAATCTTTCTTTTTAACTTTTGTAATTGATGAAAAATCATGAACTATAAGTTCTTATTGAGTTTAATAAATGAGTTTGAAATTGGAAGACTAAACTTTTAGATTTTGATGTGGGTTTTGATTTAATCTTATTTATATTGAGGTATAAGTTAATTAGTTATTGCTTTAAGTTGGGTTTGATATATTTTGGTTAATTATTAAATTAATTTTGAATAAGTTCAAAGAATTGATGAAACCCTAAGTTATAGAGATTCGAGGATTTGGTTTAAACTAACCAATAAAATAATTTAACAACGTTTTTAGAATATGAAAAAAAATATTTAATGGAACTGTCAATAAAACAATTATGTAAAGTTTAAATGTTAAAAATTGTCAAGAATACTTATAAAATTGATAATTTAGTGTATAAAATTTTTAAAAATTATATTTTTTTTTATTTTTATTACTTTAATATATATTTTAATTTAAATTTATCAATTTAAATGTTTTTATCCTGTGTTACTACTAGAGTGATTGAATCAATCATGTGCAGGTCACATGATTATCCATGTGCTAATCAATTTACTTCACCTGTGAGCCTTATAAACAGTAATATGAGATATGAGCTTCTTTATTTATTATTATTTCTTTATTTTTTATGATTAGGATGTTTAAGCCAACTTGTGTGGACCTCAAATAATCCTTCAGGACCTTAGAACTATCAACTAGATAAGAGTTTCAATGACTAGTCCTATTAGCGAGGGATTGAAATTCAGGACCTCTTAAGTAATACACCTAAAAATCTATATCGAACGGTTCAACTACCCAGAGATAGTTAAATTTATTCTTTTAAAATTAAAGCATATGTATAAATGTGCATCGATTATTGAACAATAAATTTTACATTTAATTTCATATAATTTTAATTATTAAATTCGACAAAATTAATCCTTCAATTTGGCAGCATGAGTTTTGTTTCTAGGAAAGTCTAAACAAAATAAAAGATTTAAAATTAATCAATTTTTTTATTTTTTAAAGTACTCTTACTCTCCCTCTCTCATGCTATTTTATGTTTGAGCGAAGTGGGTAGGTTGGCGAAGCCAATAATTGGGAAAAATAAATGTTTGAGAAATAATGTGACAATGACAAGAATGGAGTTATTGAAAATTCATTTTTTTAATAATATACTCTTTCAATAATCTGATTTCATATATGACAATGATATGATAGACGATAGAGGATGAGTTGTTTTCTCCCTATTTAAATATTAAAAGAATTTCTGCTGGCCAAATATTTTTGCACGTCGAAATGTCATCAACATAAATATGGCCAATTAAGCCGGTTTGCAAGGGAGAGAAATCCACCCCCTGCTTTTGGAACCCATAATATTACGACATAACGACATCGCATTCCCCTTAAAAACCCATTTGTAAAGGAATAGTATCCAAATACTTGTAAGCATAAATACAAATCCTTAGTTTAAAGATGCAAGACTCAAGTGGATTAATACTTATTTAATTATAAAGAAAAAGAAATTACAAAAATAAAATAAATTTCCCCTTTGTGAAATGGATTAATATTAAATTTATCCGCTTTCAAAAAGTATTAAATACCTGAAATTTTTGATAATTTTATAAGAGGGTTTTTTAGTACTTGCAAAACGAAATTAATGAGTTTTCGCACTAAACGATCTCACAGGAGAGAAAATGAAATAAACTCAGACTCTCTCAGAGTTCAGCAACACAACACTGACCAGAGCACAATCCTGAGCAATATTTAAATAGCAAATGATAATCATTCAAAAGTTGGTAATATTGAGTAATGAATAGGATGGGCTACAAATTCACACATTGGCAATAAAACAAAACATCTAGAGGAAGCTTTTAATTGATAATTGAAAATATGAGCGACCAAATATATTATAAAAGATAAAATGCATCATATACAGAAGAAGAAATGAAAAATCATAATAATGAAATCAATGATCAACAAAACTTTGGTTAATCTTGAAGAAATAGCATCAAAGGTTTCGAGGGAAAAAACAAGATTTTGCAAAGTCCTAACTGTTTTCCATATGAATGGAAGCAAAAATAGCTAAGATTTGCAGAAAGAAAACGTCTACCTCTTGTCACAGAAACACATGATAATTGTTCAATTTAACGATATATTATATATACAGGGGAGAATATAAATGGGACGCCATTGCACTAAGAACTGGTGAAGTATTTACATCAACTAATTTACAAAAGCTAGATCACCAAGGCAACTACCGAATGATTGTGATACAGTAGAAAGAGCAAAAATATTCTACTGGCTGAAAATTAATTTCTGGAACTAAAAGCAAACCTGACTCGCCCATAACGGTTGGTAGCCCTTATAAGCATGATCTTTCAAGATTAGAGTGAAAATGATGTAGCCTATTTACCTCATTCCAAGTACAGCAGAGAAAACTTATGAATATACCTGGAAAACTGCATCAAATCTTTTGGCCGAAAGATCGATAGAGTTCACCTGTCATCTCAAGTCCTAGGTGCTCACAATTTTGTCTCTTTTCCTACATTGATGATGGGTCTGGTCTTGCAATGTACTTGTTGAGGATGCCTCTGGAAGTGTCAAAAGTGATATGAGACTAGTTGTAAGCAACATAACAAAATAAAAATAAATAAATAAATGTTTGAAAATGAAAACAGTTCATTGAAGAATTCAGAACCAATTTAGCTTCAAATCAATCTACTAAAGTATAATTATTAAGGCCTAAACATTCATGGGTTAATTCAACCACAAAAAGACCCAAGATGTCTCCTATTTTATCTATATCCACCATAAATTGATCGATTAAGGACCAAATCCACAGATCTAAAAGTAGAGAAATATAGACAAAGGTCAAAAGATACACGAGAAAAGAAAAAGGGAAGTTCCTATATGTAACTAAAATAAAAGATGGAGCGGGTTCAGAGTTACAAAATGCTAAGGTACAATGATTCTGCAGGCAAACGTATGCTTCCTAATGCATAAAATTAAAAAAGAGACATCTCTCTTTACTAGAAAAAGTAACTGTTGTGTACTTACATAGATCTGTATAGCAGGGTTTTTACCTTTTTTTTTCTTGGATGGTTTGATGGCTCTGCTGACATTTGAAGTTGGCGAAAGAGACCTTTTAGCAGGTGCAGATTTTACTGATGGTAAAGACTTCTTTGAGGGGATGAGAGAAGAGTAAAGAATAGCATCAACAGCTTCACGTTGTTGCTTCCTTTTTGCAATTAAATCTGCAGAACCGCCTGCAGTATTAGGATCTCTTCTTCTTTCGTCAGCCTTCTGCTCCTTAACACTACCTCCAGTTGAAGGAGTTGATCCTTTCAATTTTCTCTGACTTCTGTCATGTTCAAAAGATCTCTTTGAACCTTCCGACAGATTTAATTTTGAACATTTAAGACTATCACCTGCTTCTTCTCCTGAGTGGTCTAATCTACTCTTTGAATCTACGCATTTGTCTTGTCTCTTACCCATAGGAGTAATAACTGATATCATTTTATCGTGGCCACTATCTTTGGCGGTTTTACAATCCGAAACATGTTCTCCTTGGTTTGCTGACTTGACATTCTTGGACAGCCTGTTCTCACGATTTGAAACATCAGAAGGATGATCACTCTTCATTGAAAAATTAGGTCTGTCCCTGGCTCTTCTTCTACTAGATTCTAAATCCCTCCTTTTTGCTGAACCATTATCAACATCTCCAGCAACTGTCCTGTCACTCTGAGCCACATGGCTATCTTTTATTTTAGTTTCCAAGCCTTCTTTCAATTTGCGCTTACTCCGTTTGGTAGACTGAATAGTATCTCCACCCCTTTCTTTGTTCTTCAGCCGGCTTGAATGATTATCAGGATTTTCAGGAGCAGGGTTCTTCCTATGAGCGGATTTAAACATGGAATCGTATGGTCTTTTAACTGATATGACCAAGTTTCTCTCTTTGGCATCCTTCACAAGAGCAGCCCAGTTAGAGTTCTTCTGCAAGGTTCTTGCATTACCCAAAATCCATAAAGAAAGCCTGGCTCTGGTCAAAGCAACATTCATCCTTCTAACATCTGCAACAAACCCAATACTGTTTGAGCTAATCCCAGGTGAACCAGAGCTTGAATCTGCTGCTCTAACAGTGGAAAGTATCAGTATATCAACCTCACGCCCTTGAAAACCATCCACAGTATTAAATTCCATATCAGATATAACAGAAGGTCCAAATGCACTAGAAAAACGAGAGCGCAAAAGCTGAAGTTGACACTTGTATGGTGTAATGATGCCAATTCTTCCACCAACAAACTCGGATGGATACCTGTATGAAGCATAATACAAAAATAAAAGAAAATCAAGTAGATGAACATCTATAAAAATTATAAAGAAAAAGTAAAAACTTAAAAATAGATTTTAAGTAGAAAAATGATTTCCGTACCTCTTCTTGAAAAACCTGAGTAATTCAACAGCAGCATCAGCCTCATGCTCATTATAGAGCGAAAAAGCACCAGAATTCTTGCTATGAAGTTCCTGGCCATCAATAATGTCAAAAAATACATAGGGCCCAAGACCATCAGTCACATGAAATGCTGCTGATTTTGCTGACATCTGCTCGCCATTCAGCAACTTACTTTCATAAAAATGTAAGGAAGGAAACCGGCATATATCTGGGTGCATCCTATACTGCCAATAGAAGCAAGTCCATCAGTACATATTTTGAAAAGGAAAAGAGGTGCAATCACTTCTTATAGACTTGCCTCCTTGCACTCCTCACATAGTACCAAGTAAAATCTTCAGAATAAAAGAATCATAAAGTAACAAAAGATATATTAGGGGCCCCTTTAGTTCACTACTTTTTCCCTATCCTATTCCACTATCCTCTATCCAAATACACATTTATTTCAATATTCAAAATTCTCTTCAAAATATAATACTATTCTATTCAACTCAAAATATTGAGATTATTTTTAACCCCCTAGGTTTGTTAATTTAACCAAACACCTTCAGCAATAAAAGTTTATAAATTGACAAAAACATCCCCACCCACCTACATTTGCCAGATTCTAGCCACCACTGTCGGAAGGTGGCCGGAATCTGTCGTAGTGGCGACTACCGGCTGGATATGGCCAGTAGAGCCAGAAAATGCTAGATCTTTTGACCGTCGTCGACGGCCAAGATATGGCCATCGTCAACGGCCAAAAGATCTGGCCAGATCTGGTCGGAAAAGGCCAGATCTGGCAGCCGTAGATCTAGCCTTTTTTAGCTAAATCCACCGTGGATCTAGCCGAAAAAGGTCATATCGATGCATTACTGGCCATATTCAGCCGGTAGTGCACCATTACGACAGATTTCGGCCACCTTTCGGTGTGGGTGGGTGGGAGTGTTTTTATTAATTTATTAAACTTTTATTGTTGAGGTGTTTAGTTAAATTAACAAACCTAGGGGGTTAAAAATAATTTAAACATTTTCAAAAAATGCTATTAAAAAATGTACAAAAAACTTCTTAGAATACTATTCAATTCAACTTTTTCCAAAAAACTATTCTAAAAACTCCAAAATGGTGAAACAAACAGAGCCTAGATTATCTCAATAGAAAAGAAATACAGCTGAAAAGAAACTGGAAACACATCTAGCCAAAAAAAAAATATGGAAAAAATTTTGGTAGATGAGAAAAATTCGTTGAATAATCTGAAAATTTACAAAATATCCATGTATAACCCAACAAGCATGGAGTCCAGTGTGGAAAGATATCAGTTTGAGTTGTGTGGCTTTAAATAAGAAAAACTAAATATGAGAACATGTCACATCCCATTTTAATTTAATTGCTGGACTTACATTTCATAAACTATTAATCACATATTCAACATTCTTAACACGTACTAAAAAAGCAGAATGGCTTCAGCAGATCTGCACAGCAGCACAGGGACAAAATTCACTAAATAAGAAGTTTCTTTTATCAAAAAAAATAATTTCTCTCTCTCCCTCGCTTCATATTTTTTGCTAAATCCGTCTTCTACCTTATTGTTGAATAAAATTTCTAAAAATATCTCCATACTTGACGTTGAAACCCACAACACTAATAAAACTTTTGACCAGTGGTAGCTTCAAATAATGTAGCACATTGTTATGTTTTAGTTTTTGGAGGTCCAGCAAAGCTATTTCTAGAAATAAAGTAAAATAAAACTGTATCAGGTCTTCAACCAAATCAACACATGCAGTGCTTGGACACCCAGTTTCTATTTTTCCTTAAAACAAAATGGATGTTCAAATACCTAACATTGAAAAACTTTCAATAACTTTTTCTGTTTTACCTGTTTGGTAAGCATAACAACTGCATATCCAGCCCTTTGTAAACGCTCAAACATACTGCATTCATACAGAAATTTGCTTGCAACATTCGAGAGAACAGTAGCAGGAAGCTGCTTTGGATCGCCAACCTTCACGAAAATTCAAACTTCAGTATCGATTCCTCAGTCAACAAAATATTTTCTGAATAGAGAGATAATCCTCACCATAATACATTTTGTCCCATCTGACTTCAAAAGCTGAAGAGGAATCAAAGTAGCAGGTTCCAAAGCCTAGAGTGACATTAACACATAGCTTAACAGTAATAATTAAGTAACAGTACTGCCAATCAAATGGAAACTTTGACAAGCCAAAAAACTTATGGAGAAAATAGTACCTGAGCTGCTTCATCAATAAGAACAGCGTCAAATAGAGTACTCTCAGATGGACTACCGAATTTAAAACTTGATATAGATTCAGAGCAAACTCGATAAAGATCTCCACCACAGCCACTTAATGTTGTTACCACTATTTCGGCTTCCCTCAATATAGTCTTTCTCAGTTTATGTTTTAATGCTTTGGTTTCTTCATAAGATTTCTTCTCCTGCAACTGAGTGGCACTAAGATCTTTATAGATTTGTTTCTTTTGTTCATATAGTTTTCTTAGCTTTGCCTCTAATTCTACATCAGACATTTCTTTAACATCATCCCCCTTTTGAGTTTCATCTTCCAACACCTTTCTCAGTTCCGAATTTCCATCTTTTAGGTTAGCACGCTTAGCTTCATAAAACCTTATACGGTCAACCAACATTTCTAAATCAGAACGGAGTGTCACAGAAGAGTTCGCACACTCATCATTCTTCACATTGTTTAAATTCTCTTCTGCTAACCGATGATCAACAAGCGTATCGATAAAGAAGGGTAAAGAATTTGGATGAACAGTCTTAATGTTTCCAACCCGTACAAGATATGGCTTATACATCTTTCCATCGCTGCCGTAAAGGCCTTCACTAGATATTCTTGATACCAATTCATCAACTGCTGCATTTGATTGAGCACAAATGAGGACCCTTCCTCTCACAGAACTTTCCAACGTTTTTTTATCTTTTTCCACATCCTCGTTTAATTGCCTCGCAAAGGCTGCATCCTGCCATGCCCTTGCAATTGCAGCAGTCTGGCTAATCTTCGGCCTAGAATTGGTGCATGAACTATAACTTTGTCTCATATGGCCACTCAGAGATTTTTTTGTAGCAAGCAAAGCACTGACAATGGCCACTATAGTGCGAGTCTTCCCAGTCCCTATAATAAAATAAAATAAATTGAAAATACAGCAAATTTTTAAATCCACCAGAAGTTCATTGAAGTGGGAAAAAAAAAAAAATTAGAAATAAGAAAAGAAATACCTGGAGGGCCCTGAATAAGAGACAATTCAAATTCTTTCTTTATTCTAGGTGATCCAATAGCAGCACCGATAGCTTGCAGTTGACTTTCATTAAATGAGGACTTTAAAACCCGCTGCAAGGGCTGGGAAAGCTTGCCCAGATCTAGTTCTCTCGATTCATTATATCCAGGGGAAACACTCACAGGTTTCAAAATAACTGGAATCAGAGGGATACCCTTTAACGAAGATAAAGCCTGAAATTCTCGAAGTTGAGGTGTAATGCTCATAATACGACTAGCATGCCATTTACTACGTTCAAGAAGGTTCCTCCTAGCTTGATTTAAACGTGAAGACCCATTTTGAAGATAGAACCTGATAAGCAGTATGCTTGACCTTCTTTTGTTGTCTCTCTCACGCCTCTCCACCTGAATAACAGGTTTAATAATTCAGCATAATGAAAAAATGTCACTATAAATAGGAAGAATAGATACTCAGCCTGAGAAACCCCAAGGATCCAATTTTTCCAGTGATTTACACAAGCTTCAGTGATTTGCTACTTAAAATACATAAAATTAATTAACCTTCTATGTCAATCTTAGTCAGGTGAAACTTCAACATCTAAAAAAGGAATAAATTAATAAGAATGGTAGCAGGATGAACAACATTCCAATCAGCAATTAGTAATAACTTCTTTAAGAAAATAGAGGCTATGTCCATCGAAAGGCTGATTAGGAAAATATTAAAATAAAAATTCATTTGCATAAACGTATGAAACTACCATCTCTCCAGAAAGGTGATTAGAAAAAATATGATGTAATACCTTCCCAACCATGTGAAGATCGTGGGAAGTCTTTTGCGGAGGCTCTCTGGTGAGCAAAACAAGGTCATTTTCTGAAAAGCTTTTAGATGTCACAGATTCCTTATCATCATGAACAAAGCGAACAAGATGAAAGTCATCAATCCTCTCAACTGAAAGCACAGACAGACTGCCAAAATACATATCCTCCCATGAAGACATCTCCAGGAAGGAACTATGTAACTGTGCTTTAAACTCCTCCAAAACCAATGGTCGAAAGATGGCAACATACTGTTCAGGTGATTTAAAACACACAGGAACCTCCTTTAATTCACAAAGAGCACGACTCTCATTTTCACTAGCAGATGCTAATCCTACTGTTGCAAAATAATCTAGTTCTAGAATGGGTCTATACCAGTCATCAAGCCTCGGAGGCCCAAACCTTTTAACTCCAGGCTCCATCCTGTGTAGTTGGCCAGATCGGTTATCAAGGGGTGATTTAAGTTGAATAACTTGTCTTTTAGGAACAAAGGGGCCTGATTTTGCCAGATATGACTGCTTAAGTTTTAAAGATCTCAAAGCGCTCTCCAAGGGATCAGCCTCAGTTTCACATACCAGCTCTTTCAGAACCGTATTAGTAGCTTCAGCAACCACATTGTTGCAAACTTGATTCACATTTTTGGAACCAGAGGACTCAACTGATTTACTCTTCAAACCAACTTTCTGCAGTGACAAAGAATCTTTTGTATTAGATTTGAAATTTATATCTTTCTTCTTACCATCCACAACTTTTGCATTCAGAGAATCAAGTGATTTGCCATGCGACTTATCAAAGTCCAGCTTCTGAGAAGCTAGGCCACTGCCATCCTTGTGTCTTTTAAGCAAAAAATCCAACAGATCCTTTGAAGCATCAGCACTATAAGCGCTCTTCTTCAAAGAGTCAGTTTGTGAAGAGCTTTCATCAGATGTAAGAGCCAAAGTCTTACTATCCAACATGTACTCTCTTGACTTGACATCTGATGAAGTAACCAGATTTGCCGAAAGTTCTTTTTCTGTCTCATCATCTGAAAGAACAACCAAATTATCTTTATGCCTATTAACCAATGTTTCAGAATCTAGGATTTGAGGATCTGCATTCTTCACAGAAAAAGGCTGCAAATCTGAAACAGAAGACTTTCTCTCCATAGATAAGCCCTCATTGAATAGTGCTTTTGACCTCAAGGAGGTCTTTTCAATACTACTAGAAGCTTCCTTTGATAAGGAAACACAAAGGTGTGATACTTTTTCCGTCAGTTCATCCACGTCAAAATTATCTATGGCATAACAACAGAAAACAAAAGTAGCAAAAAAGTTAAAAAAAAAAATGAATGACCTATGGGAAAGTGATATCACCAACTTAAAATCATAAATGTTTTAAGCTCACCAGATGAAATAAGATTTTCGATGGCACTGAGAGTCAATAAGGATGTACTACTGCATGACTCTTTAAGCAGATGAAACAGAGAAGTTACAGTTCTTTTCCAGTATACAACAACAACTTTAAGTTGTGATTTCCCCCAATCCATCAGGTCATGAAGCCATTTGTAATCAAATAAATTTTCTATGGTCTTCCCAGAATCCTCATATTGTTTTACAAGCAAGGGGCAAAGTCTTCCAAAAACAACAGGAAGAATCTCAAGCAGGCGGATACAAGTCATCTAAAACAAGAAGAGAACAAGATCAAGTATTACCCCAACATACGCACATGGACACAAGTGGACCTTAGTGCACATATGCCCAGAAACACACGAACACATATGCGCGATCTTTTATTTTTGATAGGAAATGTATGCACAATGTAATTAATCCAGATGACAGAGAGTTTCTTAAGAATGTCATTATATTGAAAATGACGTGTACAAGATTCATATACTTTTTAGAAGAAAAAAAACATTGTTAATCTATATGAAGAAATATGAATTAATGCATGATGCTTATATTGCAATCATTTACCAAGAGTACACAAGAAAAGAAATGAATAAATAGGACTATTTCCTAATAAAGCCTGCAATGTTACCTGGCAAAGACTGTAGTCAAGAAACATCTTCCCTTCTAGCAAACACCTTTTAACAGAAGGCCATGTAATTTCCGACAAGAAGTAATGGAATTTCTCCCATAACTTCAAGTCGACATTTGAAGAATGTCCAACACTTTCATCTGATAAATCAAAGACTGGCTGCCTTAAAAATCCACCTTGAGAAGAGAACTTTGTAATTTTCAAGTGATCGGATGAATTTTCGGGCAAATCAGAATTTGGTAAATGCCCTTCTTCAAATAGTTTCCTTAGAATGAAGAAAAAATGATGCAAAGCCTGAAACTTTGACAGAACAGAATCAAGTTGCACCTGCAAAAATATTTAAACCAGCTTATCAGTTGTCACGTTGTACTCATGATATAATGTCACTAGGTATCAAGGGTCATATATTTAGAGAATAATGGCCTTTGACAAGAAAAGCATGCCCAAGAAACAATTCAAGCATCTAATTAATATAATATCTAATGCATACCTAATGCCAAAACGAAAAAAGATTAAAAGGAATACTGAAAAAACAAACCACCACTTTACCAGTTTCAAAGCATGTCTCAAGCCCAAAAAAGTGGCAGACAAAGAAGAGCTGTATGAGCAAAGAAACTTTAAACCAGAAGCAAGACCTCGTGTGTTTGACACTTGTTCCAAGATACTCTTACCAAACTGCCTCACGTCCTGTGTCAAATAAAGAGAAAAAAGATTATGTTAAACTCTTGGCAGAAGTTCAATCACAAGACAAGTATATAAACCATAAACGTACTGTGACATACTTCACAAGTCAGAGTATATTTGACTTTAGTGTAAGAAGATATTCAAAATGGTGCACAAGCTGTCCATGAAAGCAAGAAACACCCCAAAGGGTATCCAATTAGATGAGGACATACTTTTTTTTTTTTTTTTTTTTTTTTTTTTTGTTGCTAAGAAACAAAGATACTCTAAAAAATGTGTACAAAATATAAAGAATGGATAAGATTTCCATCCAACAAAGGACAAGCTGTCCCTAAACACAAGAATTCATAGAACAATACAAAATGAAAATACCTCTCCTATTCCAAAATATTCAACACTAAAATAAAAAAATCCCTAATCAAATTTATACAAAAATCTTCCCTAGCTAGGTAATTAAAGCTCCCAATTCTGTTGAATAAAGAAAAAAGAAACATCTTTGAATTCTGAAGTATTAGAGGCCCAGAGAAGCCCAAAATTTTATTCATCCCACATGGTCCAAATCTCTTGTATCCTAAAAGATTCTCCTATTTCTTTCCCACCAAAAAACCCAAAAAAAAAATTACCATAACTGCACAATTCCACGACACAAAAGCTCTTCTTCTGCCTCCTAAGGCAACATGTCTCTCTAACAACGCCAAGGAACAAGAAGGAACTGCCCAAATCAAATCAAACTCCAGTTTGTTCCACAAAAATCTGGCAGAGGGGCAGTGCAAAAATAAGTGGCACTCTCAAAGTCTTCTTTGCCCAAAATGCACCACTTTGGTGATAAAGAAGTATGAGGTCTTCTCTTCTGAACCAAATCATAAGTGTTGATTATTTTTGCACAACAGTTCACACTAGCAACTTAACTTTGCTAGGAACTTTGGCTTTCCAAATCACTTTAGAGGGCTTAAAAAAAAGGAAAATCGAGATTATCAATAAGACCATTGAAAAATGATTTAGTGGAGAATTTTCCTGACTTGTCAATCAACCAACTTCTATAATCTTCCTTCCTTTCATCTAATTGAACATTTTAATAGCTGAAGGAGTTCAGTACAGAGGACAAGCTCCTTGTCATTCATGTTTTAAAAAAAAAATGAAGGTTCCACCCCCCATGAATAGAGGTAAACCTATTAATAGAAAGATTATGCCCAAGAGACGACCTTTCTAACCTAGGGAAATTGTCACAAGAGCAATATCACTCAACCATACATCTTCCCAGAATCTGATTTTATTTCCAATACCAACCATCAGTTTCACATGAAAGAGGAACAAACTGCTACATTGAGAAATGGATGTCCAAGGGCATCTACTACAACCTCTAATGACATCTTTAGTATCCCAACCATTCATATGCAACCCATACTTGCTTTTGATGACTGAGTGCCAAAGCAAGTTAGTTTCAAGAGGGAATCTCCAAAGCCATTTGCCATGCAAGGTCCAGTTTCTTTTAACAAGATTACCAATCCCAAAGCCACCTTTATTGAAAGTTTGAGACACCAAACTCCATTTCACTAGGTCAGTTTTTTTCCCTTCTCCAAACCATCCTAAGAAAAGGTGATCTTGAGACTTCATGACTTAGATTGGAATCCTTTAACTTCTTCCAAATCCTCTTGGCTAGAAAGGGCTTTTGAAGAGCAGTCTTTGATTGTAAAGCAGACTTAGACACAACCAAAATAAAGTAAACAAACTTTCACCAAAAAAAGTAAATACATAAAGTAAACAAACAAAAAACTATGCCTCTAAAAGGAAGGGGCGGGGGCATGGGGAAGAGAGAGGGGGAAAGAGAATAATCATGTGGAATCCAAGGAATTGAGTAATCCTAAAACTTTATTTCATCTCACGAGGAATGGACATTTTTTGTCTTCAAAATTTTCTATTGAAATAACCAAAAGGATATCCATACTGCAAATTCATAACACCATTACTTTCTCTTAAAGAGCATCTAAACTTTCAATGACAATAGAACAGCACGAGAGGAATGGAGCAATATCAGAGGCAAAAATAGGGATGTCAAGTTTCCCCGCAATGACAACTACTCACAGAGTCCCGCCCAGTTCAAGGAGGGGATTCAAACAAAAACTTCGAAATAGGATGGGGATGAGGATGAAAAAAACATTTCCTAATTACTTTCAGGTTGGGGATGGATAGCAATCCCCACCCTGCCTCATCCCTGATCCCCAAAATATATTAATAATTATATGGTTTTATTTGATCACATGAAAAGTATTTAAAGATTGATACAACAAAGTAATGGAAAAAATCCTTATCTGATAAATCACAAGAATAAGTACAACTTTACCAGATCTTCATTTCTCTCTCTATTAATTGAATATATATATATATATATTCAATATTGGATAAAGATGTCTCAAAATTGGTCACTAAGAAATAGAAAATGAAGGAAATCAAATATTTATATTTTAATATTTGAGGAACAGGCCCCCACGGGGATCCCTGCCCTTGGCCAATTCAGGGGTGGAGATGAGGATGACAATTCCTACACCGACTCACCCCAATTGCCAAAACTTGGAAAAAAAGAGTTTAATCCATAAATGCCATGCAGCAAGGCACAACAAAAGACAGATGATCAATGCTCCATACTCATATTGGCACAAAATACTCCAAGTAAAAGATAAATGAGTCCTCAGTCTTCTTTATAAAAACATTTCAATGGTATTGACTTGCCTTCACGCAATCGACCAAGTCAAAATCCTTAAAAGTAATATTAGTCTTCATATCATTTTTGAGGTTTGAAAAAGCGCATTAGATTGTAGTCAAAATCCTTCACTCCCATAAGCTATTAACACAACATCCAAGATTACTACATCTGTCAAAAATATTCCCTAAGTTGGTAAGACCACATTGCCAAAACTTCTTCATGTATTAAAGATAATACCATGGGAATAACCTCGAAGAGGGTGGATACTTAAGCTATTAATCCTCATTTAATACTTCTTTAGAATGAACCGAATGAAAGTAGCATCAACGATTGAGTTGAAAAAATTTCATCTTTGGAAGAATTCCACAAAAATAGGTAATAAATATAACACTACTAAGCAGACTCAAAAAATGACCATACCAAACCCTTTTTCACCAAAAATCTCTATTTCAAATAGCCAGAAATCTATACGATTTGATTACTAATTTTGATTAAAGTAGTAAAGACTCCCACCTAAATCCAATCGCATCCACTGTCGTCATATCCAAAGAGATGGTAAAAACTCACTAATACTTTAATTTAGATACATAATGCATTACTAGATTATTAGAGTTCGCAAAGTTAAAGTATTTACTCATCATTTTTCTCTAACAAGTAAAGCAACACCTGATGTTAAGCAAGCTATTGCATTGACATACTTACATCATTAGGATCAACAAGCAAAAGGATTAAGCTTTCACTCATCCGTGGCTCAAAAGTCCACTGTTTTCGTAGCTCTCCTTGCCCTATTTGAACTATAAAATGTGCAGTTAACCTGTAAAAAACAGGTCCAAAGTAATAAATAAAAGGATAGCAATTCCACAATAAAATAACTGATCTGACCTCTTAAAATGTAAGCAGTGGTTTTCCAATATAAAGTCAGCTTGAAATACTATGATATAACCTCTGAAAATGTAAAACCAAGAAACATTTAAAGAATATAAAGCAAATAATGTGTTCAGAACCTCTTGAATGTTCTTATTAAAGGTAGACACATTGTTGACACTTCCATTGAGTTCTTGGATACCTTCCCACCCCCACCATCATCACAACCACTTGGAACCTTCCACCCAAATGTAGAAGAGATTTCAGTTGCTGACGATGACAGCCAAGTTTTGATATGAAGTGCCAATTCTGCAGTAATTTCAGGTTCCAGAAAGGAAAACTGAGATCGAGCCCAGAACACAGCCTTGGATAATGATACAGGTAGGACTGAAGGATCAATATCAACTAGAACATCAATCCACAACAATGGAATGCACATCCAACCCCTGTACTCCTGAGAAGCAATTTTACTTTGCGCGCTAAATTCACTCCAAGAACTATTATCCTTCTCTTCAATATCTGAAGAAAAGGGAATCTTTTGATCATCTTCATCATCATTAATCGAAATGATACTGTCAGCACTAAAATGTCTCGGAGAATTCAGAATGGAAGTTATCAAGGCACCAGCATCAGACACTATAATAGTTTGAAAAAGATCAAAAGCAGGTTGCCGCAGAGAACTGTGAAGTGAAGAATCCTTCAGACAAGACACAAGAGAAGGGCCCCTGTCCATTAAAATTGCTGTAAATGATTAATGCAACTTTGCTCGTGTACACATGAGAAGGAAAGGAGATGCGGAGAGAACATGAGAGGAGGAAAGAAGAACACTTTCTTATTTCTGTTTGTTAAAGAAAAAAGATAAGAGAACATAACTACATGTAAGATTTATCACTAATATATATATAAATAAGACCTCTCTATAGTGATACTCTATATAGGAATAACCTTCATATAGTCATAAATCTAATCCTAGCTTGGACTAGTTATAAATAAGAATAAAGTCAATATTGTAATAAGTTATAATTTTTCTAAGTCATATCTTAAGGAACTTGTCTCCACATAGTAATAATTATCTGTAATAATTAAAGAGAACACAAAATTTTAGACTTTTGAGATGACTTTGTATATTCCCAACATGACATAGATACATATACTACTTTTTTTAAACCATGTCTATCTCTTTTATCAATGTCTATACCTTAGATTTGATATGCTCCATTAATTAATTATTAATGTAGAACATACTTTATCACTATACCACTTGCACTAAGGATAACAATAATTCAATAATTCACCTCTATTAAGTTATAATCTCCTCATAGTAATAAAATTAGTTTGGTCCTACCATAATGACTATAAAGAGGTTTTACTGTATAATTGATTAGTTTTCTTTAAATCCTCCCCTAAACAACCCCCCCGGCGGTTCTCTTCTTCACGCTTCAAAAATGATTTCCAAAAATGTCAAACAGTGACTTAATACTTGCATATATCTCCAAGAAAAATACAGTAACAAGGGCCAAGTTCTACATACCACATATGTGCACATTCAAAAGGTGGGCAAGGTGGGTTCATCCTGTAGCCACGGTGTACAATAAGAAGGGCAATCTGAAAAACACAATCTTGCAAAAAAGCAACAGCGGTGAGCTAAAACAATAACTACGAAGGAAAAAAGACAGGAATGACTACAAGAGACATATTGCTAATCTTTTTTAACATCTTTAAGAAGTAGCACAAACCTTGCAGGCCAGTTTTGTTGTTAAAACACTGAAGTTATTGCTCACTGGAACTTGGTGAATGAGAAAGTACAGAAAATTTCTACGCTGCTTTTCATGTTCCCCATCTTGTAAAGCTTCAAGTGACTGGATAAAAAGGAATTGTACAAATTAGTAGAATCGTAAAAGCTACTCACAATATATATATATATAAACTTAAAAGAAAAATTAAAAATTCACAAGTATAGAAAATAAGAGAGAAAGAAAAAGACATTGAAAAAGGGTTGAATAAACAAATGCCAGAAAACTTCATAGACATGCCTGCAGGAAAGGTTGGAAGAGATCAAAAATGTCTTTATGGATTTTCTCATTTCGGGTATGGAAACATTGACCCAACAGTGTATTGTGCATCACGCTGGGAGACAAAGTAGACCTCAACCAAAGCTTACAACCTGAAAGCCAGCTCACGTAAGGAAGAAAAGGAAAAGACAGTGTCACTACGACACTAGATAGTGTATCAAATTAAGTCAGGGAAAAGGCACCTACCAAGCATTTTGAAGAGTTCTCTCAAGCAAATAACAGCATGAGAAAATTCAGGCGAATCACCACCGACATAGTTGAGCACAATATCAAAGAAAATGGGATAGCGTTCTAGTATCCCTTCTTCTAAAGCTGGAGGTTCTAAGAACTCAAGCCTTTAAAAAAGCAGACCCAAATGAGCCATTAGCATTAAAAAGAAGGGGAAATGTTTTCCGAAAATTAAAAGTTTTAGCCATAGCTTCCTACAATGATGTGATTCCGAGCCATATTGGTAAGCGCTCCAGCTGCGCTCTTGGCCTTGAAGTCTTCACAGTTGATGGTAATACTTCAGTCTCCAAAAAACCAACAAATTTTTTAAGCAAAGGCTGCAATGGTTCCAAATCTGTTGCTCTCCTACGCACATACAGATAACATCCTTAAAAAATATTATAATATAAATATTAACCCAGGATGTATGTAGCCATGAAGAGGAACTAAACATCTCAAAAAATCTAAGATTCTGTGAATACATGTTTTTCATGTCCACAATGACAGTACTGTGTTTCTAGAATAGTTAATTGATAATGTTATCTCTAACAAATCCTTTTAGATTGAAGCTGGTATCTAGTAGGTAGCAAGCAAAGATTTTCAAATATTTTTATTTCCATTATAATGGTTTGACCATATACAATGGTGATAACTACGAAATCACTGGTTAAAGAAATGACCTTAAAGACTTCTTCACATATTTGTAATTAAACAATTCAGATCTCATAATAAGAAATAGGACTATTTACGTTGTCTTCATTTTTTCTTCAATAACAAGATAATCTGACTGTTATGTGAAATTATAATACATAAAACCCATTGCTGCATTGGAAATAAAACAAATTTATGATTTGGGCTGTACTTTGGGATTGTCATGTATGATGTATCCAAAAGGACATCTTTATCCATGAGAAGTAAAATTATAAGTCAAATAATCCTCAGCCTCCTGGTAAAAGAGAACGCACAAGTTCAACAACAATCAGGACCAAAAATAAATAATGGAACATAAAACAGCAGACTTCTTGGAAACTTCCATAATGTCAGTGCGTTCACAGTTTCTCACACTATATTCACCATGACTACAACAAACCATGGGGGTGTAAAAGGGAAAGAGAGGGATGGGGTTTCTCTCGCTTTTGGCATAGTGGGCCCCCAGCGGGAGGCCCGCACGACGGGCTATTAGCTCAGTGGTAGAGCACGCCCCTGATAATTGCATCGTTGTGCCTGGGCTTGGGTGGTTGGAATCTTTCCATTCCGTACATATTTGTTCCGGAGCTACTTGAAATAAATAAAGCGGATGGAATTTTTGGAACGACAATTGATATCTTTATTACATTAGCTAAAACTTATTTGTTCTTGTTCATTCCTATCACAACAAGATGGACTTTACCTAGATTACGATATAGGCAATATAATGATCATAAAGGACAAACCCATTCAATCCTGAAAATTTTCTTTATTCCTAGAGATGGGAATGTTATTTAGGTTTAACTGCAGCGATTCTGTTTAAAAATTTCAACTGTATTTATTGGCTGTTTTGAGGTGGATTTATTGTTTCACCATCTTTGTAACTACTCTGGTAATAATATAATCAGTTTCATGTTTATTACAAAATAAAACATGAAAAAATTTTCAAAGCACCAAACCTCAACCTCAAGAATAAATCAGCAATGTTATCAATATATCAAAAAGATAAACAACAGCCACACACATCATTCCGGGCAAAAAAAAGACGAGACAGTTATAAGAAAACAGTACCTCAATTTACCCACAGTAGTAGCTAATCGGCGACCAATGCTACGCACCCTTCTATTGAAAAAAAATAATGAATAGACACCCTGGCAAAATCAGGCGCACTTATGAAGCAGAAACTAAAATGAAAACAACACTGAGACAATAAAAATAACTCAACTAATGAAATACCGGAAACTGTTGATGTCCAGCCAAAGCTAATTCATGCATGTTATCCACTGCTTCAATAAATATTTCAAATTCAGTGAACAAGGACTGATCATCCAACAGAATAGGGAACATCAAAACCTGTGATCAAAATTACAGGAAACACATGCCGGGTGCATTCACCATGAAAAAAAAAAGACAGAAGAAATATATCAGTCAGCAACCATATCACATATTTACGACTTAAAAAATTAAAATAAATATACGAGTAATTCTACCTTATGCAAAATAGCATATTGTACTTAATATCCCATTGATTGGAATACAAAATTATTTTTTAAATTGACAAAAGAGTCAAACAATTCTTACATGTCATGGGTAAGAAAATAATTCTTATTTAGGTCCCAATTTTTTACTTAATATGATTGGTTTCAAATTTTAATTCTAGGATCAACATTGTCTCATGATCTAAGTCAAACTCTACAGCAATTGCATGACTTAAAATGATTTTGTGGCCAACCCTACTAAACTATTTAAGAAAGCGAGAAAGGACAGAAAGAAACAGAAACATTAAATTAAAAAAAAAAAAATGATTCAATATCTAACTCTTGTAAAATTATTACCAATCCCTTTAGCTGTTGAACTTAACATTCCAAGTAATTGCAGGGAAGGTCAATGTCATTTTCCAAGCCTAAGAGGTCTCAGTAGGATTCAGGCAAATAAAAAAGGAGGTTAATAAAATTAGTATAATTTGATTATATACTAATTTCCTAAATTGTATAGTTATCTATACTTTAATCAATAACTCGTTATAATCTTCTTAACAAAAAAAAAACATTCAAATATATACAAAAACAAGTTTGAATAAATATTTAAATGTTTAATTACCTTTAATTAGCTTTTACTTACTAAAGTGGTTTTAACAAGTNCTCTTGTAAAATTATTACCAATCCCTTTAGCTGTTGAACTTAACATTCCAAGTAATTGCAGGGAAGGTCAATGTCATTTTCCAAGCCTAAGAGGTCTCAGTAGGATTCAGGCAAATAAAAAAGGAGGTTAATAAAATTTACCCAGTATAATTTGATTATATACTAATTTCCTAAATTGTATAGTTATCTATACTTTAATCAATAACTCGTTATAATCTTCTTAACAAAAAAAACATTCAAATATATACAAAAACAAGTTTGAATAAATATTTAAATGTTTAATTACCTTTAATTAGCTTTTACTTACTAAAGTGGTTTTAACAAGTTAATGGTGCAAATATTAAAAATTAACAATATCAAAAAAAAAAAAAAAATTAATGATATCATATATATTTATCAATTACTATAAATAAATAAAATAAAATTTTTAATAGTTAATTTTTAATAATATTTGTACATCCAATCAGCTTCCATAAAAATAAATGATAATTAGTTTAATTGTATAAAATTGACTATCATACATTTAATTAATAATGTAAACATTTATTATTATTGTAAACAAGATTCATATATATTGAACAACTAACTTGAATAACATGTATATATTTAATCAATCTCATTAAATTTATTTTGATGAGATAAAATTACAAATATTGTAATAACAAATATTTTATTATGTAATATTTATTTCTTGATTCAATATCAATAAAATATGCATAAATATGTAATAATTTAAATGCTTAAAAAATAAGGTCTCATTTAGATTGGTTTTAAGTCAGCTTATTAGTGAAATTTACAATTTTTCACTAACATCCAATTCAATACAATGCCAAATGAAGAAATATAAAGTATATGTTCTATTCTACCAATCTAATCCAATTCGACCAAAAGAGTTAGCCTAATTCAACCCCGGACACTGTACACAACCTAATAATGGCAATTGTAACAAAGAGATAACAGTAATTTGTTGAAAATATAAATTATAGGCATGACTTACAATCTCAGTCATGTGCATTCAGGAATAGAGCTTAAAACACAAAATATGATGAAGGGCCAGAGAGAATCAATTTTTAATCTCAATGCAACTTCCATTCATAATCTGGTCATAAGGAGAATGGCTAATAGGAAGCTCAGTAGTTTAAGACTTCCCTATAATTATAGGCAATTTTGGCATCCTAATAAAAGTTCATAATATAATAACCAAGAAAATGGGACTACCTCCAGAACTGAACAAAGATCTAAAATACATTCAGACAGTGGGCACTAACAGCACTATCTGATATGTTTATTTTCCATTCAGGGTGAAATCGATTCTTAATTTTTTTTATTAATTAATAGGAAATACTGAAACATGGACAGAAAAGCCTGATTGAATTTTAATTCGTAGGCAGCGTTCTACTATGAAGACAGTAGGACCTTGTTTGTAGTTATTACATCATAATACATTATGTGAACCCACATGTCTTACGGTGATAGCCTGATTCCTGCCTATTTTTATCACAAAAAATGGGTTGAAGTTTGTCTTAGATTCCAGGTCTCAAGTTCAACAAAAGCCATGTACCAACAATTTAAATGTTGATGGAATCCTCAATATTAAATATAGAGAATATTATAGAGTTAAGAATGCATATAAAGACTATGAAATGAAAGATCTAGGACATAAAAAACTACCTCATACATGACAGCAACGACTTCATTATAATCACTTTGAGGATTATATTCTTGGCGTGCTAATCTTGCATTTATCTGTCTCAAGTGCTGAGTCACTCTTTCCTCATCAAGACTTTGTAATACATTAAGAAGATGACCAACAGTACCCAAATCATACTCCAGACCATACATCTCCTGAGCTTGGTGGTGTTGAGAAATGCATTGGACACAAGACTGCATTTCCTTAGAGATTCTTTTCCACAAAAGCTTAAGAGGTGAGTCATTGCGCTCGTCTTTGAAGTAATTGTAAAAAATCTCCAATTGTGGCTCCATTATGTCCCATGAACCACACCATACATGATTTTGTTTTGGCAAGCTAATCAAGAAATTAGATGCATCCACAAACCTCACCAAAGAAAAATGAATTATTCAGTATTCTTGCATTAAAATTTCAGCAAATACAATTTTACAGCTGATTACAATAAAATGAAACCATGCATGCTATTAATAACCATTTATAGATAAAAATAAATACAATTAGGATACAAACAAATGACAGTTCTTTTGTGTGATCATTAGATCAAACCCATTGAAGGCTTCAAGTTTATGATCAAATTAAATAAATATCTACCTTCACAGTTACATCAAATCACATTTTCTAAGAATAAAATACTTCCCAATCAATAAGCCATCAAATCATAAGGTTTCCACAATAAATTAAGTCAAAATAGCATCAGGCAGCTCAAATGATTCCCAAAACATATTACATTTCATTACTTAATAATACATTTTGAGTTTGTATTCCCCAATAAAAAAATAAAATAAAAAAGTTTAGAAAACAACTAACCAAAAACTAAGGAAGTCTCTCAGAGTACTTTATAGAAAGTGTTTCATAGTAACGACTATCAAACGCTTCTCCAAAAAAGATAAATAAATAAATAAATGCTTATCCAAAATGCGCTTCATCTATCTCAGCCATAGTAACAACTATCAAACGCTTCCCCCAAAAAATAAATAAATAAATAAATGCTTATCCAAAATGCGCTTCATCTATCTCAGCCAAAGAATCAATTTAAACTAAAAACACACAAAAACGCTAAACAGTTATAAAATGAATCTCTTTTTCTTCTTTTTTTTTTTTAATTCCGGAATTAAGTATTATTCATTTCTTAAAGTATCCAAACAAACATCAAATGTAAATGAATAAAAAAAAAAAAAAAAAAAAACTTAAATACCATGCTTCTTTGTGCTGATTTATCCGATGTCGTTTAGAGGGATCGTTACCGTCGTCCTCTTCTTCTTCTTCTTGAATGCCTCTCCACCGATCAAGTAACTCTCGTCTAGACGGAATCACCTCGGCCATTATTCTAAATTTCTTTCTGAAATTTTTATCCGATTGATTTTGAGAGTTTCAGAGCTTGGGTTACAGTAATACTTTCAAAAGTAGGGTTTGTGGCTTGCTGTTTAGACAAGAAAAGGAGGGAGAATTCATCATCAAAGGAAATTTGATACTCTCAGAGAGAATTTATATAGTCTGACCACATTGTTGAAACGATGTCGTTTACAGCTGATAGAGGAAATTTCCATATATAAGTATTGATTCACTGATCACGCCAGTATATTCAATTAATTTATTTAATCAAATTATACTTTAACTATTAATAAAATGGGAGAACAACATTGTCCCACCCAAGGTTTAGCAAAACAACACTTTCCCACCCATTAAGTTTTAAAATAACGCTTTCCCACACACCGTCATGTTCTGTTAAGAAAATCCATTACTATTTGACTATAAAGACGAAAATATCCTTTATTATTTAACTTAATAATTTTATTATTATTTTATGTCATGTCATCAGAATCAATTACCAATATGCCCTTCTTTTTATATAAAATTACTGATATGCCTTTTTTATCCCTCCAGATTTTTTATTGAAAATAATGTTTTAAATCACAGTTAGATATTTAAAATTTAAAACCTTTAAAATTACTAATTTGTCCCTATAGTTCTGCAACCCTATTTATATTTAAATTTTGTCAATTTAACCCCAAATGAAACTCAGCATTAGCATTACCAATTTGCTCAAATAAGACTCCAAATTGTAAAATTATAGTGCGCACACACACAGACAGACACAGAGATAGAGATATATAAAGAAATTTTGTCAATTCAAACCCAATAAAAATAGGGGATTAAATGCAAAGAAATCAGCTTTTCCAGTTTCTCATTCATATCTTAAAATCCAAAAATTTTGTTTTCACCCTCCCACTTTCTAGCTCCTTGAAGCTTGCTTTTCCTTTGCTTTCTAGATCTTCAAAACCTTCTTCACAATCTTTTGCTCTTCCAACAAAAAGGCTCAAATTTGATGTATTATTTTCAGCCAAAGTTACCATCTTCGGTACCTTTGCAACTGCCTTAGGAGGGTATTCTTCATTTAACTTAGCATCAACATATATTAGTATTGAAGATGCTGCAAATGGCATAATAATTAGCAAAGGAAGAATGACGATAACTTTTTGATTTTGAAAATTGAATATCATCTTCTTTTCATCTCTCGAATTTGTTTGACACTAGGCTTCCACAACCATCAATTACAAAACTTTATACTTAAACCAATTATGATATGCAAAGATACTAGAATTCTAAAATATAAATGATCACTCCTTAGCTAGAAACACCTTACATGATTTATAAAGTCAATCCAACATAATGATCTTTATTGGCATGGTAGTTAAGAGTTGAAAACATAAAAATACTATGACACCACTTACCATAAATAATGTGATGAAGAGATCCTTTAGAGGTATGTTAATAGACAAGGGCATGTAGTGGGCCATCAATGCAATAACCAAGAAGCTCAACAACATTTTCTTGTTTAAGTCTTGATACCATGGAAACCTATAAAATCATATGTGTGAACTATTAAATTCGACAAAATATTTATTTCAACACAATAGAAGAACTGAAGATAATGCACAATAATAAGCCAAACCTGTGCTAGAAATTCCAGGTCTGGTTGCTTATTGGAATCTGATTTCTGGATGGTTGCAACTGCCCACTTCTCAGAACACCAAAATACACTCTTCCATATGAGCCCTCACCAATTAATTAGTCAATTGTCTGAGATATCTCCTCCACTCTCACCAATTGCAATTGTTGATGCATGATTTTGACACCAACTAATCGCACGTGGGAAATGTTGAGCTAACTCAGAATACACACGTGTATATGGGATATTGGGTCGAATAAGAGATGAAGAACAATGTTTAAAGTGGTTTTGATGCTTAAACAAGAAAATCCTACGTCCACTGATATTGTATTATATGTAAGATCAGGTCTCGACTAGTTGTATCTTTGAGAGTACGAGAGAGAGAGAGAGAGAGAGAGAGAGAGAGAGAGAGAATGCTATTACAGAGTGAAATTTGCTAATCCCACAAACGGGAGAGGAGATCTCTATTTATAGTGGGATGAATTAAGGTAATGATTACTGAATCTACGAGTGGGTCAGATTGTCGTGCAAATCCTTGTTTATATCTCGTTGCTCACCTGCTCGAGTGATTTACTCAACTTGTACAGGGATTGGACAAGTGGAACGCCTTTAGCCTTTCGCCAGTCTGGCACACACCCACTACACTGGCAGGAGCATGTCGCTCGTGTCAACATGCGACGTGGCTATGGCTGAATGGCTGCAGACCCTACCTAAGCTCTGACCATCCGTGCTGACAAGGCTTAGCGTCAACCCTACTTTTTCAGGCATAACAGAAGTCCCCTAGTTTTTAAGGTTTGAGAATCGAACCTTGAAAACTACTCAATTATGCCTTGACTTGATTCACGTTGAATGGACTATGGTCGATCCGACCTAGTTGCAAAGAGGTCGCGGAAACATTTCCATGCAGGCGACCTAAAATGATCTTCTTTAAGGTTCGCGACCTATTCTAGATCCCATTCAGTGCCATGACGATGATTCCAGTCTTCGACCAAAGTTCGCGACCTGATTATACTTGAGAATTTTTGTTGAAAGCAAAATCACGTCGCCTCACAACTAACATGCGACTAGGGCGAAGAGTCATGTCACTTCGCGACTGACATGACGAAGAGTGTTTTATATATCGACCTCTTCAGATGTTATCCGTTGCACTTTTGTAGCTGATACATTTAATGAAATATCTTTTGCTCTAACAGACGTGTCTTATGCGTAATAAGTGCCAGCCATGCGCATTAAATGCGAGTTATGCTGAAACGACATTCCCTATTAGAGCATTAAATGTGAATGTTAGCATATTTAATGTGGAAGAGGGAAGCGTGCCGTCGCTTGAGTGTTTCAACGAAAAAGAACGACGATTTAGTTTCTCGAAGCATGACAGTCACTCTTCTTCGTTGATTAGCGACACGTGGTCGTGATCAATGGTAAGGAGTGATCTCGTTCAAACGTTGTTCAACTTCGAGAAACTCAAACGCCACTTCCTTCACTATAAAACCTCAAACTCACCTCTGGCAATGTCACAATACTCACTTCTTCAAAGAGAGCAAGGAACTTTCGTGAGCCTTGATTTTCCGTCTTTCAAACTGGTGCGTGCTTGACAATGGGAGCAAGAGGATCAATCTTCATATTCAAGAGGTAAGAATGGTTCCTCTGCCACTTTATTTCATTTTTTATTTTTGATAGTTGCCATGCGGTGACAATGTTTGCCGGTAGTTGATCGGAGATGAAATCTTCTCCTAGGGTTTGAGCCATTAGGGGTGGCTCCTAAGAATTCTGTTAGGGTTTTTTCTAAGGTTTAAGGGAGGAAACGTTTGCTTTTTCCTCCACGTCATCGTACGAAACAATGTACGACGACTAAGTGATGCCTTCATGTCGCTTTTTTCATACCGTAGAGGAATGGACTCTCCAACGACCAGAACAGATAAGGGAACCAGCTTATCGGTGCATGATGCTCTTGTAGGTCCCTCTCAAGAGATTCTATCAATGATTACTGCCGAGGAGATTCAGAAGGTGGTAGACCAATACGCTCTCAGTGTGGAGGTCTTCCAACATAGGACACACACAGCTCAGAATTTGCCAAAAGGGATGGTTGCGATCTCCGAGAACATCTTTAAGAGTGGAGGGCTGATCCCTTTCCACCTTTTTGTCAGGTCAGTCTTCGATCCTTTCGGGATCGCACCGCTACAGCTCACACCAAATGCATATATGATAGCCGTGACTATGTTTATCGCATGCGGCAAAAACGGATTGGGCGAGCCGTGACTACATTCTGAAGAAGAGTAAGGATAAGGACTCCTTCTACCTCTCAAAGCGACCTACAATCGAGACAGGAATACATAGTTACCCCAGCAATGTAGAGGCGTACGAGATGAAGTTCTTTTTCTTTCGATATGATGGCATTTGCCAATTTCAGGAGCCGAGTAGGTTCTCCTTTCTTTTTTATTGGTGAATTTACTTTTAATCTTTGCTAACAAGCTCTTTGTTTCTTCGCAGTTAACAAGACGACCAGGTTATCGGCTCTCGAGGATCCAGACAGAATCACAGCCTTAGATTTTTTGCCCGAAGAGAGTCGCGATGCAAGATTGCTCATGACAACCGCAAACTTATGGAAGTACGGTTTCTTTAGCCCCGAAGCGACCTTAGAGACCACATCGAGTAAGCATCGTAACTTTAGCCTGTCTTTTGATTCTTCATAAGGCGAACTGTTTTGCTAATGATGTTCGCATGCAGCGACCATGCCTCCTAAGGTGCCCAGATCTCTACGACCAAGGCAATTCTCCTTCCCCCAGTTAGGTGTCACTAGACCTGTTGGAGCGGCTCCCAGTGGTCCCCTAGTCGAAGGGACACCGGCGGGTGCTTCGATCTGACCTGCAGGCGTTCCCCAGTCTTTGACTGCTCGCCCGAAGCAAAAGACAATGGCCAAGAAGTCCAAGAAGCCGAAGCAACTTCGGGCCGAAGAGTCGGAATCCGAGACTGAAGGTCTAAACGTTTTGCCCTAGAGGTCGTAGCCTTACCAAGCATTCTGCTCAGGAGGGCCATCCAGGGGTGCGAATGGCATCTCTATTGCCCTTGAAGGTCCGTGGACGAGGCAAAGGGAGGCTGCAGGTCTCAGGAGGAGGTCGAGCAAGGAGCCAAAGGGGGAAACTTCACCTGTTGTGGGCACGGGCATGCCCGTGCTAGACTCAATGGGCCAGCTCCCAGATCATCTGCAGTCGGTGGTTTTCACCTTGCTGGAGTGTGGGTTCGCAGAGGCGTTTGAGCAGTTTGTGGCCTCCAACCCCATGGACCTAATGTCCACATCCTTCCAGCACTTTAGCCAGGTAAAACGAGTTATCCTCGGCGAGGACTTTTATATTTTCTTTTTTAATGGAAAGGAAACTAACTCTTTATTCTCTTCGTTACGCAGGCCCTGCTCTCTATACACCTGTCACTGCAAAAGGTTCAGTTGGGGGCTGCTGAAGGGCTGGTCGAGCTGAGAG